TCTCTGGGCAGCACGTCTAATCCCCAAAAATGTCCCCCGGGTGCTTTCAATAGCTGCCCACTCCACCACCTGGTGGTGGATGGGTTAAATGCAGAGACTAATTTCGCCATTGTATGGAAACATACAGTGCTGACATTGTGATGACATTATTATTATTATTATTATTATATGTTCCTTTACTTTTTAGAAATTTAATTGATTCTACAACGTGGACAGGTTGCACCCGCCTCTCGCACAGTGACTGCTGGATATGGGCACCAGTGACTCCGTGATCCAAAAAGGAAGAAGCAGATAAAGATAATGGATAGATGGATGAATGAATGAATGGGTGGATGGATGGATTGATTCTAAAACTTGCTGAATCACCATTAGCAATATTTCCATTCAAGATAATCTTTAGCAAACAATGTCTTCATTGTTTTATTCTAAAGTACATTTTATGCTTTGTCATAATTTATTTCAGTTCTAAAGAGATGAGAGATATTCACATCCATCAACGTGTTCTGTTGTTGAGGTGTCTATATGGGGAGGGAAAAGGCTGCAGCATCTCTGCTGAGACACCTCACTATCTCCCATCTATTCTGCACTGCAGGGCAATCCACACAATCATCCCCTGCAAGAGTATCTCATTGTGGGAAAACGGCATCTAAACACAAACTAGAACATTATCTTGAAAAGAAGAAATAAATACGTGATTTGCAGAGGTTTTGTTTGTAGATCCTGGCAGGAACATGCATTGAACAAAATCTTAATTCGATCTTTAAAAAATGCTTTTTGTATTGCTTCTTGGCAAAGAACCTTTGTGTTGTTTAATCTTCTCCGCCTGAGTGGAGCTTTATCTGCGTATAGTCTTTTAAATTTAATTTTCCCTAGTCTCCACTGCACACCTGAAAAATGCAATCTCCCTTATCTGTGCCCTAATAAAAGACTAATATGGATTAAATTGCTTGCTTCCCCTTTTTTCTCTCTGTACCAGCTCTACCTTGCTTTTCTAATAACAAACAGACCATAAAAATGCACAGGAAAATCAATAATCAGGAGCCATTAGAGGATTTTGTTGGTGCAAATCTTTGGAGAGCATCTTCTATGGTTCAATTTGTTTTCAAATGTTGACTATGCATCATGGTCATGTTTTACTAATGTCACAATCTGCAAGTTTGTCTATACAAAACATCTCCTTTTGTGTGTTGAAAGTCAAGTTACATTGCACAAGTTACCATTTGAAAAGTTGAGGCCATCGGACATCGTTGGCTAATTTTTCCAACATGTTGGAGGGACGTGGAGTTGACCATTATGACATGAGATGTGCCGTTTGTTCCACGACAAGCACACACATTCCCCATGCTCTTCTCGTTCTCTTCTCCGCCAAACCACAAGTACTCCACTAGTACACCCAAAAGCATACCTGCAAAAGTTGTGCACAAAAACATGTTATTAAAATTGGACAATTCTCTCAAAGCACATATAAATTACAAAATGCATTAAAATGATAAAGCTACTGCTTGTTTATGACTACCAATACAAATGTATTTAAATACATTTTTAGTAGCTGCATCTATAATGAGACCTGACTTGGCCTACATCTAGACTGAAGATGAGATGCTAGTACTGTATTTAACGTGAATAAACCTGTGCTTATGTTTACAAAACGTAAAGATAGAGATAAAATGAAAAACCGTGGTTCAAGCTCTATCCCTGTAATGTCACAAAATTGTGATAATATGTATTTAATGAGCATTCCGGCACATGTATTAAACTCTAAATCTAGGAAGTGTTGAGCAGCAGCTTCCGTGCTCTAGTCTGTACCTACTGTGCATAGAAGTGGAGCTACTTACCATAAAACATTGCACCTCCAGGTTCATTTATGAGTCTGTATTTGAACTGCTTTAACTTCCTCACGCTGAGAATTGTTATTAAGGCTAAGCTTACAGCAAGCAGAACAAATAATGCCGCACTATCTTTACTGTGTTTCTCCGTGGCCGACATCTCCAAAAGTCTTCAGGTCAAAACTTGTCGGAGTTCAACCAACTTGACTTCAAAGACAAAGCTGCAACATCCGCATCAGCGCCTCTAAATAGACCGTGCTGCCTTCAAGACATATCGGAACTTCTTGTTTTCTCATTAAGGGATAGAAAATAACAGTTTGACTTGGCGTGTTTATGAAAAAAAAAGAAAAAACGATTAATAATAATAATAAATTTATCTCTTTACCAATGTAAAACATCATCGGCTGTGTATAGCATAAAACACCCCAAACTGGTGGTGGTTCTTTCAATTTCCAGCAGATGGCGAAGGATGCAAAGTAATGCACGCACAGTCTTCAAGCGAGTACAAATACTGCTATTCAGTTTCCAAACTCGAAGAGAATCACTTCCATTAGGTAATTATAGATAATACTTGTGCTAAAATTAGCTTATTTTAAATGAATATTTTCGCTATTAACATTATTTATAACGACTTGAATTTCAGTATGATGTAAATATACAATTGATAAACATGTTCCCAAGGATCATCAGTATGTAGGATTTTATTTTATTTTTTATCTTTCGCTGCACAACATGGTCCAAAATTAGCCTAAATGGCATGTCACTGGACTGGACGAGTTTAAGATGATAATAGTATTTCCAAAAATTCTGAACACAACTTTGATAGGGGGGCGGAGTTCGAAACGTATTAGAATAATCGCTTAGCAACCGGTGTCGTAAAGCGGGAGCGGATGTCGCAAGGTGTAAAGAGGCTGGTTGAACAGAACCCATTGTGGTCTGGAAGAGGAGTAAGCAGCAACCTGAGAGAACAAATAGAAGAGATAATTCTGTGACCACAGAGACTCATATTAAGCAACCGGATATGGACCTTAATACACAACACAGGCGCTGTTGTCCCGTGTGAGGAGGACCGTGTCTTCTACACAGAAAGATCCGGAATATGAAGAGTTAAGACTCGACATCCCAACTGTTTATTTCTGCAGCTAGCAGGCTAGCTGGCTAGATGTCTAAGTCCGCGTGAGTCCGCTTGATTTAGAGATTTTCGTCGAGCCTTAAAGAAGCGCCTTTACATAATAATGGCTGTGATTTAAAAAGGACCGTTCGCTCGGCAAAGAAGAAACGGCAACTTTGAAGAATGGTTTCAACTGAGCTCTGATTATTTCACTACTAAAGGGGAAAGTCTCACACAGGTTTGTTTCACTCACACTTCTCGTCTTTCTAGTTATTGATTCAGGTTCTTGACGAGCATGAACAGGCTCGTTGAGAAATTTCCAGGCAGGGTCGTGGGTAGTTCATTAAACCAAAAAGTTGGTGTTTTTTAAAGCGTTCCGTTCAAGTGAGAGGGTTACTTGATACTTTGAGCGTCACTGTTGCGACTCCAGTGATTGACTGATAAGAAACATTTCTGGTCCTCAAATGTTATTGAAGTAAACCCTCTTATCAGATGCCCACATTCACTGGATGGTGACAGGAGGGGTTTTGTTTCTTTTCATAAAACTGAATTGTAGTGGCGCCTCATAATGAACATTTACGTGTATTTAATCTTGTTTTCATCTTAAGACAATATTGTGCCAATTAGGAAATGACTATATATGATGACCATACAAAAAAAAAAAAGTAGTTCCTTAATCTTATTCCATTATATTTACTTGAAACAGCATAAGCAATTCATTAATGATTATGATAAAACTGTCCATTTAAAAAAAAAAAAAAAAAAAATAGAGCAATGAGTAAAAAAGAGGGGTGCACTCTTTGCAAAGTTGTGCCCTTGATTTCATGAAAAGAAAATGAATTACCACAGTGACAAAAGCTCATAATGACCCCCTAATGAATTTCTTTATTTTTTTATTTTTTATGGTCTAATAAATTGAATTGGACAGTTTCCGTTCATTCTTCTGTTACAGCAGACTAATTGTGGAGACTTCCTCAAGGTTAGTTAACAAAAGAACTGTGGACATATCCTTATGTACTTAAGACATGCTGCTGGTGGTTGACTTGAATGCTTCTGATTGCTCAGCAGGAGGAACATCTAGTATTTTATCTCTAACTGAAGCTGTACGCTTCTCTTTGTAGAACCTCCATTTTTTAACACAAAGCAGCACTTGAGGTAGATGAGAAATCCCCTGAAGGGTCAGGTAATCGGTTGTTTTCCTAAACAAATTTTTTTTTTCCTCTTTAATTTTTAAACGGAAACTTGTTTTGGCAGCTTGTTTTAATCGGTTAAAGCGTGGCCTCGCTCGGCTGACATGTTTTGGAAACTGAGTCACCACTGATTTAAATGAAGGGCAACATTAAAAAAAAAAAAAAACTTTTAACAGAAGGATGTAAGTGGGGGGAAAAAAAAAAAAGTTTGCCGTTTTAATTTAACATCTTTTCAGGATTTGTGTATGCACTTTTAAATAAATGCGTCATTTTGAGCAAAGTAAAAACTATTGAAATTCCCATAAAAACCTTTCCCAAAGATAAATGGACTAACGTTCATTAAGGGGAAGCAGCTAATTGGTGCTTATATTCTAAAGACTCAGTTTTCCATTAGGCTTGAGGATGTTGCTGTCGCTTGCATCTATCCATCAGTCCACATGTTTGCTGTACCGAGGCACTCTAGCTGTGGCTGAAAAATATATTTTGTGATCAAACATTATCGACTCTCGGTCAATAACCTTGGCAACAGTAGTTTCTCTCCCCGGCAAGAAGCGCACAGGCGAGGCAGGAATCATGGGGGTAGAAGAGGCTTTTTCCTGAGGCTTTAGGAAAGGCTTTGTGGTAATGCCGACGATCTGGCGAGGAGACGTTCGTGTGCTTGTGCGTGTCAGGTCAACTAAGGGAGCGCTGCCTTTCTGTATTCAAGCAACCTATTTGCAGTCGTTTCAATCACAAAAGCAATAACTCAGATTTCCACTCATCTCATTATCCATTAATTTGATGCGCTTATCTTTTCCCTTTTAATTTGACCAATTCCTCAGCTCCGATTCCTCAGCTCGTTCCACGCTGTACTCTTACGTTTCCAGTGGAATTAATCAAGCATGTTCTTGTGTGGCCTGACTTCATTATATTGTAATGAAGTTTACCCTCAGGTGCCGTCAAGAAAATGGCTTAGCCTGAAAGAACCTTTTTTTCCTCTTGTACACCATTATCTGAAAATGGTTTAACGCAGAGTTGTAGAAAAGATTATTCAAGATTTTTTTTAAAAACCTCTCATTTTAACCTCCCACGTCTTCCTTATCGGAGCTATTCTGTCAAAATGTAGGTTTTAATAAAAGTTGAAATATTAAATGTCATTTTCCACTGCTTCGACCTTTGTCATTCTGTTTCAAGCCAACGCACAGCCTGTTGCTTTATCTTGTGCCTTTTCTGTCCCAGTAATGAGCCATTTTGCAGCTCTTAACATCTGCCAAACTTGGAGCATTTCTGCTTGCGAGACTCATCTGTCATGCATGAGTCGTCAGACATCTTTTTTGATTTGCCCTCTTTTCTCTTTCGTCTCTTCCGAACTGCTCACCGATGTACTTTGTAGACTGAGTACGCTGACAAACTTTTTTTTTTTTTTTCTTCCCGTCGTGGCCGCAAATGATGAAAGGTATCTTGGCGCTTATTCTGAATGGGGTGCTCCTCTTGATATCGTTCGTGTCTGCCTCCCACTAAGACACCACAGGGGAGAAACGGAGTAAGGGCACTAATTGGGAACACAAGTTTTCTTTGTGAGGTTTGTCCGTAAGAAAACACTGCTTTAATTTCAGTGCCCTTGTATTCCAGTGGGCAACATCTGTGTTAGAATGCACAGCATCTGGCTTGATTTTACATCTTTAAGTGAACTTTACCCTTGTCAATAACCCGAGTAGGTAACCTTGTTCCAGGAGCCCCTCATGGTATGCCTTTTCAAACCCTGCACATATGGTCAAATCAGTCTTACCCATGGGTAATATACAGCAGCTGAAACTGAGTGAGTTTAATAAATGTTTTTCATTTATTAACCCCCTTAGTTTCTGCTGTTGTAAATTACCCAAAAGGTAATTATCCTACAAATCTGCTTCTTGTGTAAAGTTTACTAGAAGCAGATGTTCCCACTCTCAAATCCATGTGATCTTAAAAAAATATAAATATATGTATGTATGTATGTATGTATATATATTTTGTCTCATTCACACTTTACCTTTAGGTGCAGCAGCAATATCTTGCTTTAGAGAAGATCTCTAATCTAGTAGCTTTTCAATACAGGTAGTTATGCATTCCTGCTTTAAACTGACTAAAACTCAAACTGTTATGTTTTTTTTCATGAAACGATTAATATTGCTGTCATGTTATTGCCTCACAAATTAACAGAAGTGGGAGAAAATGATGTGTAAATGAATCCATCACTTTAATCAGTAAGTACGTTTATTATTTATTATTTACTTTCTTTTAAACATTTGCTGCTTTCATTAATCTGGTAGCAACTGTTGGTGTAAAATGCGGGGGGGAAAATCTTTAGTACTTTGCCATAATTTCTTGTGAGGGATATCTATCTTGGCCAAATCAACGTATCACTTCAAAATACCACAAGTAGAACTGCTGTAGTCACTTACCGAAAAGTCACTACTGTAAATAGTTTCAATATAACTGAGCAGCTGTTTACTACGACAGAGCTTTAGGGCCACGCGAAGAAAAAAAAAAAAGAAAAGCCATAAAATTAGGAGAATAAAGTCGAATAAAATGTTAATATTATGAGAATAAAGTCGTATGAGTTTTTTTATTTTATTTTGCAGCTCGTTTATTTTTTATTTTTTCCACGAGTCGACTCCACAACGTAGCCTGTCAATCAATCCAGTGGGCATGTCAGCAAAATGACCAATCCAAAGCTAAATGCTTCTTACCTGCAGAGCTGCGCTGCAGCCCATCAGTGTATCACCGTACTGTAAGCAGGTTCAAAGTCCTGATACTGATAATAGTCGGATGTTGACATGCCAACAGATTAGCTATCTCCTTATTTGTAAAACCAATACCAAAGTATAACTTAACAAGATGCTCAGCATTCTTCATTTTACCACAGTTAAAATGCGGTAAACCCTGCTGTATCGTGTTGGAGTTCGGATTGGTCATTTGCTGACACGCCTACTGGATTGAGTGACAGGTCACATTGTGTATCCAACTCGTGGAAAAAATAAATAAACGAGAGCTGTAAAAATAGAAATAAAAAAGTCTCCTATGACTTTATTCTCGTAATATTACGACTTTATTCAACTTTATTCTTGCAATTTTTTGCCCTTTTTTTTTTTTCTTAGCGTGGCCCTAAAGCTCCGTTGCAGTTTACAGAAAAAAAGTAGATCACTGCAGTAAAAAGTCTTCTTGTTGTGTGTTTGCACCAAATGAAAGAATGAGGGGAAACTTTAATTAAAGATTCTATATGTATACAAAGATTTTAAGGGTTTCAAGTGGTGGCAGCTGTTTGATGGTCGAACAGCGTAACTCTTTTTAAGTGAAGAAAGAGATGGCATTTATCTCGAAGTAACTATATATATCGCAGAAGAGTTAGATTTTTAGGAGTTTAACTATGACTGTTCAATAAGCGTATGCTTGCGGGAAGGTTTTGTTTTCAGCTGTTTTCATGCAGTGGTGCTAATTTTTACACAACCTCGATGAGCTCAATTGTTTATTGGTGTAACGTTAAAGGGAACTTGTATATTGTGGTGTAACTTGCTTAAATGTTATCTAGTCTCACGAAAATTAGTCACCACGAGTTAGTCCATTTCTAACACGAGTAAACATAGCACAAGAAACAATATTGGAAAAGTGTCCAAAGTGATTGAATCCTGTAGCTTTGAAGGAGAGAACTATTACTGCTATGTATCTCATAAATAAAGAAGAACTTATAGGTAATTGTTTTATTTCTTATTTTTATTCTTCTTGGCAAGAAATATTTGGCTCTTTGTTATTCTCCGTTAGTTTCAGTGTCTCGTTAGTTCCGATGTTCAGGTCTTTGTCGAGGCTTGTTCTTATTTGTTTGATTATTTCTTGCTCTCTCCTGAAAGAAGATGCGGACAGCTTCGTGGCCCTGCTGAGGTTACGTTAGGTGGTTTGTAAGACCTTCGTTCATCCTAGTTAAATGTCATATCTGCTCCCAAGATTTGGCAGTTACGTCTGCTGTGACTGCCTGAGTCAGACGCTAAATGACACTTGAATCAAGCTCTTATAACAGCAGGATATTCAGTTTTCCTCTAAAGCAATCAGCTTTTTCTCACTCCGAGTAGCAGAAGGCGCACACATGCTTTTGACTCCTGTGGAAGTTGTTTTTAGGTGGGAGGAAGGGTTTGCCACAGACACCAGCCTGGGATAAATATAAATATGTGCTTTATGTATTTTCCAGAAACTATTCAGATATTTTTGTCGACTTCCTTGTTTTTCCTCCCCCTCATTCTGAAAAGACTCATTTATCACTGTGGTACCGTTTTGTTGAACTCAGCCCGATGCGGACAAATTCATGTTTTGTTTTAAAAAAACTGCTGCCTCAGAAACAAATGTATGACAGATTGATTTTTATTTATTTATTTTTGTACTTTTTCGAGATTTCTCAGCTCATTGTGGCCATGAAGTAAATCATTTAAAAACACTGTTGTAAATAAATTGCCTCTAGAGACTAAAATTACAGTAGTCTTAATATATTTGAATTATTAACTTCGTTAACAAATGAGTCCTGTCCAGTCTTTATAAAATAGAAGATGTAAACTAACTTGTTTCTGGTACATGGAAGAAATTAAAATGTCACATTATATTAATTTTATATTCACGACACGGATAAATAAGCTGCTTGAGTCAGGTTTTTAGCAGCTAAAAATATACATCTGTCTGCATTTTCCATATTTTGGATTTAGTTTATTTTTATGTTAGTCATATTTGCCTAATTTGATAAAAGTATTTTCAAACAGAAGTTAAAGGTAAAAGCAAGGATGTCGCGCTCATCTGACAATCCACGGGCACGCATCTCTCAGAACCGCTGCTCTCTTGACTGTGTTTAGCCCTCGTCTTTACGGACCTCAGCTACTTCGATCTGAAAGCGGAAAATCAGAAAAACCCCATTGACGCGCACTAATGGCATTGGTGTGCCTCCTTGTTAGCCATGCCCTCCCAAGTCAGATGCCTTAATAGGCGTGTCCTAATGAGCTCTAATTGAGACTGGCTAATTAACTTGGCCTGAGCCATTGTCTGTCTTGAAAGCGCCACATAAGACGACTAAAAAAGCCGAATTGAAAGAGTGGGGGTCTAGCATGGCTTCATCAGCAGTGTACTACTATGAGTCTTTCTAGGAGCATTGTTCTCTTTTTTTTTTTCTATACATGCTCCTACCATTTCACTTCTCTGCTGACATCAGTTTGCTTAGCAGGATACTCACAGATTCTTTTGCTCCCCTCAATCACAAATGTTATTTTAGTGACACCAACCATTTTCAAAGGAGCAACTTCAAAGCGTGATTAAAAAGAAGCAAGGCGGCTCTGATCAAAGGTTAAATTTTGCGCAGCGTGACTGTCTTCACAATGCAAAGTGAGATTCCTTCTTGATTCCTGAGTTCAATACAGGTGTTGAGGCTAGCAGACGTAAAGTTACTTTGCCGTGCACGAGGTGTATGTCTGCAGAGTTAAGTTCTCTGGAATTAACCTTACTTTGGCTCATTTTATTTATACTATAGGGGGATGTTGTCCGTTTCTCCTTAATGTAATCGCTGACATTTTATTTCCTTTTGTTACTCTTCTTTTCTTTATTTGTCTCATAGTGAAATATACAAGAAATTGTCATTGAAAACAGGGCTCTAACAGCACAGGCAGTTTATTGCATTGGCTGTTGGCCAACTCATTTTGTCTCAGAAAGTAATAAAATCTCTTAAATGGCCTAAGCAATTCAAATTTGTGAGACAATTTCATATGCCAGAGAAGCTGCTTTTTATTTTATCCAATGTATCACATTTTAGGAATAGGATGAGGGAAAAAAAAAATGAAATAACCGTTTTTCAAATTGTTATCTGTGTCCAACAGGACAGTTTTAGATTCAAGGATTGTGATTCCTTTTTATCTGACCCAAGGTTTTTGAATGATTCTTTTTCTATCTTTGCTTAATTTTCAGGATTGCTTGCTAAAGCTTTTGCCCTCAGCCTAGAAGAGAGAACATGACGCACTGGCCACTGCCAGCGACTGGCAGAGGGCAGATGTGCCAGCTGTGTCCCTGCCTGCTGCTCTAGAAGTTTCTCCTTTTACACCATGGCGCAGAGGAATTGAGGTTAACTCCTTGGGATTCTGCACAAAACCTCACCTTCTCCCCACCCCTTAATGCACCCCTTATCCCTACCCATTCCCACCATGCTGCGCTTCCTGCCTCTCAAACTTGGCCGCCTGTATCGCTGTCTGAAGCTCCTTTTGGTGTTGGGATTGTTTGTTGTTCTGTTAATGAACACCCACAACTTATTTGCTTCCTTCCAGAAGAACGAGCTCACAGACAGGCGATTCATTAACCTCAACAAGTGTCCTGCCTGCTTTGGCACCAGCTGGTGTCGTAAGTTCATGAACGGACAGGTTTCCTTTGAAACGTGGGGTCGCCTGCGGTTTTTAGACGTATTCAATGTCAAGAATGTTTTCTTCGCTCAGTACGGAGAGCCCAGGGAAGGCACCCGACGTGTGGTGCTCAAACGGCTAGGCTCCAACCAGGAGCTGGCTGAGATAGACCAGAAAATCTGCAAGAGGGCCACAGGCAGGCCACGCTGTGACATCATCCAGGCCATGTACAAGACTGAATTTGCCCGGATCAACGGGGACGTTCGCCTGCTTACTCCAGATGTGGTAGAGGGCTGGTCAGACCTGGTGCACTGCCCCTCGCAGAGATTGCTGGACCGTGTGGTCCGAAGGTATGCCGAGACCAAGGACTCTGGCAGCTTCTTGTTAAAAAACCTAAAGGACACAGAAAGAATGCAGCTACTTATGACTTTGGCATTCAACCCAGAGCCTCTCGTACTACAGGTATGTGTATATTATTTTACATTTTTTATTTTGTACATCTGTGTTGTTGAAAACAACTTTCATACGTTACACTTTTGGAGTATTTGACTGTTGGAGCCTCAGAGGAACATTTTGGAACAAACATATCCGTTGATCTCAGGCATCAGGTGATTTCCTGGTACTTGATCAAATCTGGTCTCTGGATCACACTTATAGGATCATAGCGTCAGAACAAAGGAAGCCTGGGTGTTGGCTCATAAAGCCCCCAGTAAATTACAGGGTGGAGATCACCGTTTTCTTTCTCTTCTATATGTCTTTGACTAGACATTACTCTCTGCCTAAACTCTAGGCTACAATAAGACTGAATGCCGCTATCTGGAGCATGAATATTCTCTTGCTTAGAATAGAGACAAGTTTAGAAGCTGTGGCCTCTGAAAAGAAATGAGAGATTTTGGCTGGCGGCAATACTGCATATTTAACACTAAATGTAGGGCAGTTTTGAATTATTCAAGGAAGCATTTGTAAACGGTCCAAGTTTTTAATTTTAATATACATATATGTCGTCTGAAGTCCTGTCAGTTGTGGGTGACTGGAGTGAAGGAATGTCTTTTGGGCTACTAAGTAGGATCAAAACCAGTATTTTGGCTTCTTCATTAAGTTTTGTGAATTATTTTATTGCCTGCAATCAAGCTTTCAAAATCCACAAAATAAAATTAAAACTGACAAATTAGACTGCAAAATGACTTTTATGTTTTTATACAGTTAGTCTAATAGACTGCATTAGAACATCTTTAATGTAAAATTGGTTAAATGCAAATTAAATAGATGCTTGTTTAACTTGTGTTTGGCAGCATATTAAAAGTGAAATCATGGTCTGTCTGTTCTGTCAGCCTGCGTGTCAGAGCAGCCATTCCCTGCACCACATAAGCACAGTCCACATCCTTTTCCCTCACTGATTTACGGGCAGCCAATCAATTTCAATTTCAATCTGGCATTGACCGCGTCTCGTGAGAGGACAGAACAACAATGGTCTTTGCCCATGTAGACATTCAATAACGTGTGCTGACCCCCTCCCCTTACACACAGGACCACACACCTCCGGGCATTTTGGAGAACAAAAGGCAACTTTTTAGTCTGGTCAATCTATAAAATCTGATTAGCCTTTTGTGCTCTCTTGCTGTCCCCCTTCCTTCCTTTCTCCATTTATTTATTTATTTTTTGGCTTGTTTGTGTCCCTGCTTCCCTGTCCCTCCACGGATAATGCCATCACTGTTTTTAATGCCATTATGCATCAGTTCAGATGTTTGGTGAATCACTCCCTCTTCATCCTTATCTTTCACAGCTTCAGACATCTCACAGCGAACACATCATCCACACACATTGTCCACAACTCTCTTCTCTTGCTCTCTGTAGCTCTTGCATGTTTACAGGGACTCATGAATTGTTTATCTCGCGCAAAACTTGTGACCCGTGGGAGTAACGCGTGTGGGTTGTGCGGCTGGCTAGAATGTAAAGAGACTTGCCAGGCCTCGAAGAGAATCACATATCCCAAGTACCTTGACTGTTCGTCAGCATCACTGAACTCAAAAGATGAGAAAATTTGCTGAGAGACTGAGAGACCCTATACACAAGGTTGAGCAGCAGTGGACCATAAAGAATTAATGGCGTCTATAGAGATTGAACAAGAGACGTGCTGCTCTAAAACACCTTAGTCTCTTTTTTTTTTCTTCCAAAGGTTAGGCTGCTGCCTTGATGGATTTTTAACAAAAAACAGGGAATACAGTCTGAGTTTATGACACACCATTTATTGCAACCTGATCGTTATTTTAACTATTTATTACTGTACCTTCTAATCATGTCAGGAACAAGGCTTTGTTGGGTTTAATTGCAGTTAAACACTTCTCTAGTAAGTTGGATGCAGCTGCTTTGTCATTGTTTAATTGAAACTGCTGTAGTAATGAAGAAATATATACACTCTGTTTTTTCTTGCGCCTCATGCTTTATAACGCTAAATAATGTGAATACGATTTCTGCTGTCAGCTCAGTGAGCTGCACTGTCTCTTCCATGGGCTTCTTTTTTCCAGTCTTTTGAAGCCACAGGCAGTAAATCGGCCCTGATTCACTATGAGGAACCAACCTTCTTTGTCAGTGGGGAAACAATCTGCTGTGTTGTTTCGGGTCTGGCCAACAATAGGTTTTCTGTGTTCAGCGGTACACAAATGTGTGCACATTCACACACACACCACCCCCACTTTGTGTCACATGGAAGACAATTGGACTTTGGGGAATAAATATTTTTGGAAGATACAGTGATGACATCCAAGAAAGAAAATTCATGTGCAATAGGAGAACTTCATCCAACTTCATCTTGTTTTGTTTTTTTTCTTGTCTTCCTGTCGATTCATTTAAATTGGGCTGGAAATCTTTCTCTGTTGCTGTGATTAATCTGCTTTTGTCAAGGTCTTGTCTCTTTGGCAACCAGAGGAATTGCATGTTCCTGTTTTAATTTCACCCCTTATTCAAGAATAAACTTGGTTTGGATGAGAAGTGAGTAATTTATTCAACTCATTTCCGTGGCTAGAAATTTATTTGCCATCCTTGTATTTTCTCCTCCAGCAAAATGACTCACTGATTCATCAGGTGACGGTTGTGTTTGATGAAGTACATCTGGCCCAACCTTAAATTAGTTCGATTTAGCCCAGTCCTCTCTTCCAAATCATTAAGCTCGGCAAGTTTGCCAGAAGCATGTGACTTCACTTGCACCCTTTTTGGTCTTCAGCCTTGTCGTGCTCAGTGAAGCCGAGAATAGGATGTGACAGGCCTGTGGGGTTAACTCAGTCAGTGGTACACTCATCTCCTCTAAACTCAAATCTGTGCAGTCCAGACACCCCTTTCCCTCGTTTCATTACCATCTCACTTCTCCTTCCGCATATCTGACTTGCTCGCCTCACCTGACATAGAGAGGTACATGCCAACCTCTTGCAGTATTTTTTCCAGAACAAAGACATCTGACACTAATACTAATTCCTAAAACAAAAGTAGAAGTTACATGAACAACCGTATCATTTCCTCACTGTACTTTTGACATCATAATAGTATTGCACATGGGAAAGGTAAACATTCACAGCACACTTAGCAAATGTTATTTGCTTTGCCTCTGGAGTGTAATGTAGATTAACAGGACATTTTGTAAAGCAAACAAGACGGACTCATGAATTTTCCTGGCACAAAGTGAAGTACAACAGTACTTTGACTATGACCTGTTGAACCTTGATTTGTTTATTTTATAGGAAAACTTTTTTTTTTGCACAAGCTATGAGTCATAACCTTGAACTGAAAGTTGGAAAAAACATAGGGGTGAGATATGGCCTAAAAGAATGGATGAAGAAATTAGGTTAAAATAATTATGCTTTTTCATACACACCACCTCATTTGGCGAAAAAGCTACTATCTGTACAGTTTGATGCAAAAACAAAAAATGTCTCAATGGGATTTACTTGTCTAAATAAAGGTTGAATGAAAAAAAAAAAAAAAAAAGAACCAAAAAGCTTTTAACACTACAACCCACTATATCTGATGTCTGTCCTTTTTTCGACACCGTGTCGTACAGTGGGGAAAATAAGTATTTTTTGATACACTGCTGATTTTGCAAGTTCTCCCACCTACAAATAGAGAGGTCTATAATTTTTTGTCGTTGGTACACTTCAACTGTGAGAGACAGAATCTAAGAAAAAAGCAGAAAATCACATTACATGATTTTTAAATAATTAATTTGCATGAAATAAGTATTTGAAACAACAGAAAAACAGAACTCAATATTTGATGTTGAAAATTTTGTTTGCATTTAGAAAAGTCGGATGTTTTCTGTAGTTCTGGACCAGATTTGGACATACTACAGCATGGATTTTGGACCTCTCCTCCAAACCGATCTTCTCCAGATTTTTCAGGTTCCTGGACTGTTGTTGGGCAACATTGAGTTTCAGCTCCCTCCAAAGATTTTCTGTTGGGTTCAGGTCTCAAGATTGGCTAGGCCACTTGAGGACCTTGAACTGCTTCTTACGGAGCCAAGTTAGTTGCTCTGGCTGTGTGTTTTGGGTCATTGTCATGCTGGAAGACACAGCCACGACCCATATTCAATGCTCTTCCTGAGGGAAGGAGGTTGTTGGCCAAAATCTCGTGATACATGACCCCATTCATCCTCTCTTCAATACGGTGCAGTCATTCTGTCCCCTTTGCAGAAAAGCACCCCCCAAAGGATGATGTTTCCACCTCCATGCTTCATGGTTGAGATAGTGTTTATGGTGTTGTACTCATCCTTCTTCTTCCTCTTAACAAAGCGAGTGGAGTTGATACCGAAAAGCTCTATTTTGGTCTCATCTGACCACATGACCTTTTCTCATGCCTCCTCTGGATCATCCAGATGGTCACTGGTGAACTTCAAACAGTCCTGGCATGAGCAGGGGGACCTTGTGTGCCCTGCAGGATCTTAAACCATGATGGTGTGGTGTGTTACTAATGGTCTCCTTTGAGACTGTGGACCCAGCTCTCTTCAGGTCATTGACCATGTCCTCCCGTGCAGTTCTGGGCTGATTACTGACCGTTCTCAGAATCATCCTTACCCCACGAGGTGAGCCCTAGGCTGAAGCAGATTGACAGGCATCTTGTGTTTCTTCCATTTTCTAATAAATGCACCAACAGTTGTTGCCTTCTCACCAAGCTGCTTGCCTGTTGTCCTGTAACCCATCCCAGGCTTGTGCAGGTCTACAATTTTGTCCCTGGTGTCCTTAGACAGCTCTTTAGTCTTGGCCTTGGTGGAGAGGTGGGAGTGTGATTGATTGTGTGGACAGGTGTCTTTTATACAGGTAACACATTCAAACAAGTGCAATTACGGTAATACAGGTAATGTGTGCAGATTAGGAGGGCTTCTTAAATTAAAAACTAACAGGTCTGTGAGAGCCAGAATTCTTGCTGGTTGATAAGTGATCACTTATTTCATGCAATAAAATGTAAGTGTATTATTT